TACCCCATCACTTGCCACCACAAACCTGGTGGTAATAAGTTACCACAGTATGAACCTGAGCTGGCAATGTGATGCTGTAGCCAGTAGGGCCAACAATACCCTGACATGCATCAATGGATGCATGTTCAGCAAAACCATTGAAAAAAAGATTCTCTGGCTCTGCTTGGCATTAGTGGGACTATAGCTGGAGTACTGTATCTAGTTCTGGGCTCCACACTTTAACAAGGATGTGGTAAAGCTTGAGAGAGTCCAGAGAAAGGCTACCCATATGATCAGAGACTTGCACAGCAAGCCATATAAGAAAAGGCTGAGGGACATGGCACTCTTCAGCCTGAAAAAGAGATGGCTGAGAAGGGACTTAGTAGCAGCTTACCGCTACATCAGAAGCATACATCTAGGGCTTGGTGAACAACTGTGCACCAGGGCACCCTTGGGGAAAACTAGAAGTAAGAAAGACACAGAATGGAACAGCTGTTTCAAATCAAAAAAAAATTTGAAATGAAATGCTGTTCCGTTGAAACATCGAAACACTGGTCGAAACAGAATGCTGCCATTTTGCACAGCCCTACTGACTTGGTAAATATGGGCCCACTGAATGCAGCTACCAATCAATTGACTTTAAACATTGACAAACAATCTCCAAAACATTTCTGTTAGGCAGCTTCATCACTTTGTTACAGACTGGAGAAAGAAAAGAATATTTCCAGGTTGTGCACTGATAGCTAAAGCCCTTAATTTATTTTTAAGTATGGTAACAAGAGGGAAGAGGCTCAACATTACTGATCACATTCAGGCATCATGAAAACCAACATGGACTGTGAATGCCTAGCCTCACTGACATCAAACCAGGGTAGTTCGATGATTTTAAGTGCTTTACATTATGCATCCAAGCTTGAAAGCTTTTGCCTTAAGCAACTGGTCCATGACACCCAAGACCAAATGCTGACAGTGAACCCAGTGCAGGAAGACTACTCACTTCCACTGGAGCCAGCAGGGCTTTTTACAGCTGCATGGAGCTTATTTTAGGATCAGGGCCAGTCTTTGTAAGAGCTGTTGTAAGAATTCTTGGCCCTCAAATCATACCTTTTCAAAAAGGGAAGTACATTGCACTGTATCAGAGACAAATGTGGCTCCTATAGGAACATCATGACTTTAGCAACATAATATTATGCTTCAGTGTCAGATGAATTCATATTGCATGCTTTCGTGATGGTTCCTGAGAAGCATGAGAAAGAGCTATAGTAAAAAGAACTTCTCTTTCTTTCATGACAGGTATTAGACAAGAGAATTACATCTTAAATATTTCTGACTTGATAACAAAACAGAAGACACTTGTACAAAGTAGAGCTGAGTGAAAACTGGAATAATGTCCCTCATAGAACACTGGCATATCAATATTTAATTCAATCCCAAATTAGGATGAAAAGTCAAGGTATCAAACATATTCCTCTGGAAGGAATAAAATCAGGAAAGAGTTTTATTTGGAAATCTTTTGTTTCAAGTCAGTTTGATATTAACCTGCAGATATGGTGTGGTTGGAAAGTTGGAAAACATCCAAAGAAAGCTGGTGGCTATGGCACGAGTACATGAAAAGAGTGCATGGGAGGATCTTTTATGGAATCAAGAAGATGTATATTAAAGAACAGAAGTTAAAGGCAAGACCAGGAAGAAGAGGAAAAGATTAAATGTGGAAGAACACTATTAAAACATAATTTACTCCCTTTTCTGGGAAGAAATTATAGCTGAAAGATGGTGGGAAGAGATGAAGAGATGGTTAGACCTAGCAATGTGCTGAAACCAGCAACCGATGCTGATGCTTTATGCTCTCATTCTCCATTACATAGTTAACTACTTTATAATTGCAACTTCCAAAATATTAATTAATAAACATTTTGTTTTACTTTAAAAGGACTGTAAATTCCAAGCACTTATGAAGTCACTATGGTTTACTTTTGAAAAAAAAATCACTTTGATGCTTGGAATTATGAATATTAAGCATTTAAAGGTTATCTAAAGTTGCCTAAAGGACATTTTTGAGGAGAATTTTTCTTTCTGATAGAGCCTCAAGGCAACGAAATCTCTCTTTTCTATCTGTTCAAAGTTCAAAGTACTAAGAGTTGCATTGTTATAGATAAAGGTTTATAGAAAGAACCCCTTAAAAGGTCAGGATCTGTAGATTTAAATCCCAGAACACCCAATGGGGAATTTAAATTACAGTAAAACAATTGTTCTGGAGGTCTGTGGCTAGCAGAGAAGAATGATGATGATGATGAAAACAAACTTGCTTATAATAAACCAGATTTGACTCTTCATTAAGAGTGGAAAGTCCATTATTTGTAGTGAAAGATACTGCCATGATAAGCTTCCTTTTTATTCAACATATGCAGTCATTTGAGCATTCAAGTACTGGTGCCACAAATAACCATGGAAAGCACGTTTTATACTAATATGCTAAAATAGTCACACTATAAGTAGCATACTGTATCTAAAATGGAATGCAACAGGGAGAGATCATTCTCTAAACTGAATATCAAAACTTACTTGGATGCAAAGCCAATTAAACTAGGCAAGCAAAATTACGTTTTCAGTTTTAATAGCTTGGACCATATGAATTTACTTTGTTAGTTACTTTCATGCTGGCAGCAGATCAACAAATGCAATAATTCACTAGATAGTTTTAATATTGAGCAGGCATCTTGTTTGACATTGCAGGGAGAAGTCTTCCCAGTTCCTTCATCAGGACTGGGTGAAGCCTAGGAACAGTTATACAAGCTGTAGCTCAGGAACAGTTACACAAGCTAGACCAGGATCTAATTAGAACCTTTGTTATCAAGATGGCATATGCAAACTATAATTAGTTTGTACAAATGTGATAATGTAAACTGTGCCCATGCTGAGCTGACAAAGGTGTGAACAAACAGATCTCTAATCTCTCAAACTATGTCTAGTACCTTCAAAAAGCTTTTATTTCTACCAGAATATTTCTAAAGAGAACAGTTATCAAAAAAAACTTTTTGGTATTGTTGAATCTGCCCTCAAGTTACCAGCTGAAACAAAATGTTGCAACCTTCATTAAGGTAATTCGCTATAACTATTTCTGGTTTTTTTCTGTTTTCATTTTTATTCATCTCCTATTCAGAGTGTATTTAGGGTGTGGTTTCATAACAGGGAATCTCATGCACATTTGAGATGATAAAAGTTTCTTTCATCATTTGTGCTAGAAGTCCATTCTGTTTCTTAAATCTAAAATTAGAAGCCAAACACTTGGCAAGTATGCCAAGTATGTAAATTTTTTTTTTAGAATCTAGCATTATAGCTACAAATGCCACCCACTTTCTGTCATAATAGAAAGAGCCAGAAGAAAAAGGTGTTTGTTTTTTTTTTCCCCTGCAGAAGTAGCTGCTGCTTCTTCAGAGATTTAAAGTTCTTATTTCTCCTATCACTTCCTCACTTCCCTTCTCTCAAGTTCAAAGATTTATTCCTTCTAAGTCTGATTTGTTGCTGTTGGCAGAAGGAGCAAGACAACCAGATAAACACAATAAACATCAACACCGGGCCAAATTCTGCACTGAATTACACTATATGAAATTTTGCAGTTAACGAAATGAGTTGGGATTTATGCCCAAGCTAACTCTGGGGAAAAAAACACTCAGATACCAAAGCAAAAAAATCTTTGGGGAAAGCATCATATCTTCATCTATGTGTGTACAGCCAAAGAGGACCAGTCCTAACTGGGTTCATCTACATGTGCAATTAATGCAAAGCAATAAACACCAGCACACAGTATGCCAGAGTTTATTGCTCCCAAACGCCACATTTACATGTGTGCCGAGGACTGCAGCAAATTGATCTAGGTCAGAGAGGCCCCAACTGGCAAGGGGTCTGGGGGGGCCAGCTTGCCAGCCCAGGGCTGGTCTGACCTGGCTCAACGTGCTGCAGAGGGGCTGGCTGGGGCACAAGAGCACTTCAGTGTGAGGCAGCCAGGAGGCATCCCTGGCAGCATCTACATGTGCATTGCCGCACAATAAATAACACTGCTGCAGGACAGTATTTACAAGTACTAACCTATGGCACTATTTATTCATTTACTGTGACCTAATAGGGCCACAAAGGTAGATGTGGAGACTTTACAGCAGAGCTATTTAGGCAGCTTTGCAGTAATTGCCTTGTGTAGACACCCCACTGGGGCTATAACTGCTCTTATATCACCAACATTTAGAAACTAACTGAAAAGTTTGGCCCCTTTACTGTAGGAAAAAAAAGATTTTTTTTCAAGACTATCCCTATAAAATTAAATGAAATTATACATGCAGGTGTATTATTTTGTTCCTGGTTTAATTGTTTCCCCCCCTAGTACTTCATTCCAACTCAAAACAAATCTTTTTTTTTTCTTTTTAAAAGAAGGTTGTTGATATAGTCACAGTATATAAGATCATGAAGAGAAGAAAATGGTGTCCAAAACCAAGTCAGGCTTGCAGAGTAATCAGTTGTTTATATATGGGGAAACATGCATGCCAGCCCAGAGATAAAGCATAAGGAGAATAAGGAGACTGCATCTTGAGACAAGCAAGGGCAAGAGACCCATTGCTGTATGTGTTGTTCAGTGACCGCTCAGAGCTAAGGAGTCTGGCAGAGGTCTGCTACATTCAGGCATGTCTACATGTTCATTAATGTGCCCTAGTTACTGCACATTAAGTTTAGTATTTAGTTAGCCATGTACATGAAAAGAGTGCATAGGAGGATCTTTTATGGAACAAGGAAGATGTGTATTAAGGAATAGAAGTTGAAGGGAAGACCAGGAAGAAGAGAAAGAGATTAAGTGTGGAAGAACACTATTAAAAGTATTAGCCAAGTACTAATTCTGTGTGCAGTAACTTGCACAACTGTGCAGTAATGCCAGCGCATGGGTTTTTTGTGATGCTTACTGTACAGTAGCCTAATAGCACTTCACAGTAGCGTATTAACGTGGTGTTTGACTGGCACGCTACTGTGCAGAGTTATTAGGTTGCTGTGCAGTAAGCATCTTATGTAGACACACACTTGGTGTTTGAGTTCTAAGGGCTCTTGCCCACGTAATCGGCCTTTACCACTAAAAATGTTCCTGGTTTAATTTTCCTTTCTTAGTTTATGATGACTAAATAAGTAACATGGATATGATTTACCACATACTCGTATATTATGCTGTAACTAGTAGAATGCAGTAGGGGGCATGTTAGAACAATTTTACCCTCCTGCCCTTTTAGTTCTACTTTACTGCCAGGTGGCATTTTAGGACAAGAAAAGCCCACAAGAGTCTTCCCAAAGGGAATGACTCTCTGCTGCAGCACTTCTGCCTCTCACTTTTTCTGGAGGTTTGGGGGGTGAAATCATTCTGTGCAAAGCACCTCAAGAGGCCGCCTGCCTCTCCTTCACAATTATGTCTTGTCCTTGCTTCAGGTACCATGGCTTCTCCTTGCTTTTTCTGGGTGCTTTCTGCATGCTTTTTGTATCTGGGCACTGGGTGTGGGGTACCCTTAAGGCTACACAAGGGTACACAAGCATTGCATCATCCACCCACTTTGTAAAGCTGCTCCCAGCAGATTTTTCCCCCTGCTATTTTTTGCACAGGGAAGAGTTAAACTTTGGTGCCTTTTTGGGGCTGAGCTTTTTGTGGGCTTTCCATTGTGGCACCAGACTGTCTGGGTTTTTTTTACCCCACAACAAGGCCCATGGGGGTGTTGGTTGCCCCCTGATGGCCGTTAAATTCATGGAACAGGGATCAGGGTGTTTATGCTGTATCCACAAACGAGAGCCTTTTGAGGCAGATGAGAGATGGCAGCACACAGATGCTACACTCTTACTGATGCAGCCCAGTATGCTGGTACCCTTTTTTGCAACAAGGGCACACTGTTGGATCATATTCATCTTATTGTCTACTGTAACTGTCAGGTACTTTTCTGCACAGCTCCTTCCCAGCCAATCAGCCTGTACTGGTGCATGGGATTCTTCTGTCTTAAGTGCAGGACTTTATACTTGTCCTTGCTGAATCTCATGAGATTTTGTTAGTCCTAATCCTCCAATTTGTCTATGTCACTGAATCCTAGCCCTACCCTCCAGTATATCTACTACCTCTCCTCCCCCCCCCCCCACCAGCTTGGTGTCATCTGCAGTCTTGCTTAGGGTGCACTCTATCCCATCTTCCAGGTCACTGATGAAGACATTAAACAAAAACAGCCCCAGGATCGACCCCTATGGCACATGGCACCCCACTTGATACCGGCTACAAACTCGACATCAAACCATTGATTACTATACTCGGAGCCCAATGCTCCAGCCAGTTTTCCATCCACCTTACAGTCTATTAATTCAGCCTGTACTTCTTTAGCTTGCCTGCAAGAATGTTGTAGGAGACCATATCAAAACATTTGCTAAAATCAAGGTATATCACCTCCACCGGTCTCCCCACATCCACAGAGCAAGTCACCTTGTCATAGAAGGCAATCAGTTTCCCTTTCTTAAATATGGGCACTATGTTTGCCCTCTTCCAATCATCCAGGATCTCTCCTGATCATCATGAGTTTTCAAAGATGATGGCCAGTGGCTCTTCAGTCTCATCAGCCAGCTCCTTCAGCATGCTCAGGTGCATCCCATACAGCCTCATGGACTTGTATATGTTTAGCTTTTCTAAATAGTCCTAACCTGTTCTTTCACCACTGTCGGCTGCTCACCTCCTCCCCAAACTGTGCTGCCTAGTGCAGTAGTCTGGGAGCTGACATTGCCTGTGAAGACTGAGGTAAGAAGGCATTGAGCGCTTCAGCCTTTTCTGCATCCTCTGTCACAAAGTTTCTTTCCCATTTGGTAAGAGACTCATACTTTCCCTGATCCTACTTTTGCTACCAATGTACTTGTAGAAACCCTTCTTGCTACCCCTCATGTCCCTTGCTAGCTGCAACTTGAATTGCACTTTGACCTTCCTGACTTCATCCCTGAATTTCTGAACTCTTATACTCTTCCCTATTCATTTGTCCAAGATTCCACTTCTTATAAGTTTCCTTTTTGTGACTTAGTTTACTGAAGAATTCCTGGCTAAGCCAAGCTGGTTTGCCAAACTTGCTAGTCTTTGTGCATTGGGCTGGTTTGTTTCTGCACTCTCAGTAAGGCTTCTTTAAAGTATAGCCAGCTGTCCCAGATTCTTCTCTCCCTCAGACTGGTTTCCCAGGGGATCCTGCCCATCAGTACTCTGAGCAAGTCAAAGTCTGTTTTTCTGAAGTCCAGGGTTCTTACTCTACTGCTCTCCATCCTTCCTTTCCTCAGGATCCTTAACTCAATCATTTCGTGGTCACTGCCTAAATTGGCATCCACTGCTACATTGCCTACCAATTCTTCCCTGTTTCTGAGCAGCAGGTCAAAAAGAACACGGTCCCTGGTTGGCTGCTTCATTACTTGCACCAGGAAGTTGCTCCCAACACTCTCCAAAAACTTTCTATATTGCCTGTGCATTACTGCATTGTCCTCCCAGCAGATTTCAGGGTGATTTAATTCCCCCATGAGAACTAGGGCCTGTGACTCAGAATCTTCTGCTAGCTGTTTGACAAAAGATTTATCCACCACTTTCTCCTTGTCTGTTGGTCTGCAGCAGACACCCACCACAACATCACCCTTTTTGCTCTCTTTTTTGATCCTAACCCAGAGATAATTTGAACCCATTCATGACAGTGCTCTAGTCATGCAAGCTATCCCACCAAGTGTCTGTTATTCCAATTACATCATAGTTGCACTGTGATTGTGCCAGGATTTCCAATTCTTCCTGCTTTTTTCTCAAGTGTTGTGCATTCATGTACAGGACAGTGTACATGACAGTACACTGGCAGTATCATTGGTGCCCAGATGGATGAGAAGCATGGTATAGTAATCAGAAGGCCAGGTGAGTCTCAGTAAGCCCTCCATGACATCTCAGATTTTGGCTCCGGGCAAGCAGCAGACTTTAGTTTATAGGGGCTGAAATAATACTGGAAGGGACAGGGAAGCATAGAACAGGGCAAGTCTGGATAACCACAGAAAAAGTCCTCAAAGGAAGGAGTGGGGACAACAACCAAGAAGGATAGAGAGAGAGAGAGAGAGAGAGGATGAGTGTAAAGTGATCTGATGAGGATAGCCAAGGATGGGATCAATCAGGGAAAACTGAGGCTGAAGAACCTCAGAGTAAATAACCTGGCTGTGTTCAGGCAGAGACCTCACAGGCATCTCACATGCCAAACTACTGGAAAATACTGAATTACCACCTGAGAGGAAAGCAGCAGGGTGTAGGGGAGGTGGAGCCCTGCAGAAGATCATGGTCCTGCCAGATGGACCTCTGTGCAGACAACCATCCATTCTCCCAAATCTTCTTCCAACATCAAGGTGTGGAAAGTGAGTGCAGAGGACAAGTCAGATGTCAAGTTAATTCTGACACAACAGGGTGGGCAAAGGGCACCCACTCACCCACAAGTACCAAAGTCAATATCGACCTGATGCACCACTTTCTAAGTTAGTGGAGACAATTCCATGATTTCAACTCCAACCCAACAGAAAGAGGGCTATGGAAGGGTATCCCAGCATACAGCATGTGGGACAAATTTGTTTGCATGTTCTTCTTCCTCTGCAAAATCCACCTCTCAACTAAGCTCAAAATAGACAAAAAATATTTTTCTTTTACTTTTAGCAAAATAAAAAAAAAGTGCTCTTGTTTCTTTTCTAATTGGTGTCAAAGTCAAAACTCCTCTAGTCTTCAGAGCTGCACAATCAGGCCTTATATAAGAAGCTACAATTTCCCGATTCTGCTTAACATATTGATTCACGGTACTGATCTAAGAATGAACAGCAAGTATTAGAGTAGCCATTAAAAATTCTGAACGATGAGGAAGCAAGCTTGCTTTTCCTGTCCCCTCTCAATCTAATCATAAATTACATATTTGGTATTCAGAACTGAGAGGGAGACTTTCCATTGCAGCAGAAGACTTTATTGAATGTGTGGAGCTTGCCATTGCTTGGCTTAAAAGACAAAGTTAATCTTTACATGTAAAAAAACCCATTACTTTTAGGAGAAAAAAATATTTGTTTTCTTCACTAAATTAACCATTGAACTGTCCCTTAAAACTTGTTTTTGAGTTACACATTCCTTTTCCATTCCTTGGTCTCTCAAGCTGCTTAGACAAATATTTCCACAAGAAGTAAAAAGATAAAAGAATAAACTGCAAGCTGTGTGGAATTTAAGATTTATTTAAAATATAAGGGAAATGCAACTAGAGAGTGGTGTTTGTGTACCCTGGTTCAAGCTTTCAGTGTTCAAGATTGTGTGCATGTGTACACATTTAATTTTGGAAGAAATAATGCTAATTACACTTAGCAGTAAAACAAAGGGATTGGAAACAGGATAAAAACAAGCTGAAATGTCCAGAAAATATGTAGTAGCTTGATACTAATTACACCATTCTTTATCAGTAGATATATACACTGAATTAAGGTAGGTAACCATCATAGTGTTTTCTAAGACTTTTGGTATATTTACTGTGGCTTTGAGACTTGTGTTAGTGTAACAACAACAACAACAATTATTTTTGTGACTACAGGGAAGTATTATTGCTGCCCAAACTCTTTTTCCTAATGTTCATTAAAGGCTTATCAGCCCATGTAATCTTCTTTTTATTCTTCTGGACCATTTTCTGAATTGTTTCTTCCCAAACTACCATTTTAATTTCTTTAACAATAATAAGCCATCAGAAGCTTTTATGAACTTAATGAATACTTCAACAATCATGTCCACAAAAGACTCCTGGAAATCAAAAATATTAACTTCCCATTAAATGCATGTCTCTGAAAGTTCTCTGTTATTAACGCCTAAGAGCTTGCTCTTTTAAATTATTTGCTAGGTTCATAGCACAGAATAGAGATGTAGAAATAGCTATTCTGCTGTAGTACAACTGAGATAATGAACACAATGGAAAAGCCTCTTCCTTCCAAAGATAAAAACAGCATTTTTTTCTGCATACTGTGGAACTAAGAGACAAATACTCATCAGATCATTAAGAACCTGAAGGCTTCCATTGACTTAAATGGGCTTTGGATCTCTCCATCCTTGTCTCTGCTGGAGATTGTGTTGCTCTGTAATTTCTGTTGTTTACTCCTTAAGTTTAAGTGCCTCAAATTAAAGCTATTATTTTCCTTTGGAGACTATTCTACAGCCTACCTCATTGATGGCTAGTGGTGAAGGAAGTGTAAATGGATAATGAATAGACCTGTTTGAACCTTTTGGGATTTATCAATTATATTTTGATCAAATGTAAACTTATTTTACATTTTTATACAGTGTGTTCAGAGCATCTTAAAGCAGTTTACAAATATTAAGTAATTCTTATAAGACAATTTGATAAATTTTATTAATGTCATTTAATAGAAATGGGGTGGTTAAGTGAAATTGTCAGCAAAACCTGAGTTAGCTGCCCAAACAGGGAAGGACAGCTTGGTCTTGCGTTGTGGGCACTAGCCGTGATAATATGAGTCAAGAGACACAGGAGTGCCAGTAGAAAATTTATTGCTTCTGCAGAAGGGTAGACTCCCATCTTAAGGACTGAGAGCTATGTCCGAGAGGGGTTGAACCCTCTATATTTATATGTTTGTCTTACATATGGTATAATATGGTTAGTCATCGTTACATATTTTTCTGTTAGTTATAATTATCTCTTGCGATTGTCATCATCATAAGGGCATCTTCCCCTTTTCAGTTGAGGGCGCCTTCCTCTTTCCAGTTGGGTCAGGGTCACCTTCCTCTTTCCAGTTGGGTCAGGGTCGAGCCTCAGAATAGATGTCTTCTGTATTAGCACTTACATTTTCGTAAGATTATATTTAGTATTACATATCTTAGTCATATGCATGGGTTAAATTGTCTACTAATCAACTTGTTAGGCAAACACTTAAAATACTTAAACTTATGGACTTATGAACTACTCATGCTTGAACTGAACTTATGACTTACTCAATTAAACAAGTGAACCTATCTTTTATATCAGAATAAGCCAAGTGGAATGATGCAAATAAGTCCACAGAAGAACCTAATACAGGAGCTCAAACTGCTGAATACCAGTTTCATACTCTAACCATCAAAAATCACTCTACTTCACTTGCACTTTGGTTTACAGGCACTGAGAACAAATTAGCTCATTCAGTGAACTTAACATCCAAAAGGTGCGCTACCCATTCTATGGCTTTTAATTACAGGGAACTGACATTAAAAATAGTGATATTTCTAATTTGGGAAAAGGGGCAAAATAAAGTTATATTTTGTTTGCAGTTCCTTGCCTATTCCCCCATCCCCCTCAATAATACATGTAATGCATTCTTTCAAGTTTTGAAATCTGGAAAAAGAATGAATCTTTTTAAAAAGGAGAAACCCCACAAATCATAAAAATATTCTGCTTTTTCAAATCAGTTTTATTTCTTACATTATATGACTCCAGCTGATCTCCTTGCAGGAGAAAGAGAAGCAAAATACAATGGCATCTGATAAATATAGACCATTTCAAAGTACATTTGCAGACAGCTTTTAAGCATAGGCTGAAGTTTACTAGGGTGCCTGAACCATAAGAAGATAGTAGGTGCTGGGTTTTTCAGGAGAAAGCTGATTTGATAATACAAAGCCCACTGATGACCAAGTCAGCACATCTCTTGGACAATTAGATCTGTCCCTGCCTAGCCTAGCCTCCCTATTTCCTTATGTATCTTGGCTGCCATTGAATCCTGTTGAAGAATTAGTACAAATTTATGGACTATGTGCTGTTCTGTTACTAAGTACGAGGAAACTAGCCAGAAAGCTGGGTTCCTACAGTTTCTATTGGTTCTTGCTGCTAGAATACAGACAGAATCACACCTATGTTCAGTTTAGTTGTTGTTGTTTTTTAACTGTCTGTGACTGTCATTATATTTTAAAAAAATACATTTGACACATTTAGACTCTCTGGGGGTATCAAACTTTATTCCACTTGACAGCAGGAATAATTGCTGTGATGCACAATAAAACTGATTGAAAAGTTTGGATCTGCTTGCTTCTCCATTTTTACAGCCTAATCTTTTCTGCTGATCAGTGTTTCAATGGACAAATCCAAAAATGAAAAGGCATATTTTATGGTATGAAAACATATGGAGAAGTTTAATCTCAGTTAAACTGATGTAAGCCTACAATTAAGTTAATGGAGTTACTCTGTAGTTACATCAATATAACCAAGGTCAGTATGTGGCCCTGAGTGTTGTGCAGAAAGATAAATGGAATAAGGGCACATATGAAGTTAAAAGTGAATTTATATTATTTTCCTACTTCCTTTATATTATTTTAGATTACTGGAACTCTCTTTACATTTTGAAAGAACTAGAATTGACACAAAATACATGTTCTTTCTCAAAATGTATGTCAGTATACTAGTAGTATATTTTAAGCAAACATGCATGCTTAAAAACATAGTGCAGACTAGATTCAGGATTGCTTCACTTGCTGCAAACCATCAGGAATAAAGGAAGTTCTATGCTGTTTTGTCTATCTTTATCCGCAGACTGAAATGGCAGCAGGGTGGATTGGGAGGCTCATTATCCCCAAGGACAAAACACTTGTGTGATCCTGCGACTCACCTGGTAAGTGCTGGTAAGGTGGCACACTGGGGGATAGATAAGGGGGCTGGCTGTGGAAGCCGGGCACTCAGGAGGGAGAATCAGCTCAGCAGCTATCCTGGAACTGGAACACTCCAAGCAGTGTTGCCAAGTCTTCCAAGAAAAAAGCCGGGTTGCCTTTAAAAACAAGCCCAAAACAAGCCCAACCCATTTCAAAGAGAAGGGAGTTGGGGTGCTTACTAACCTATGACTCAAAAAACTAAAGAGACTTTAAAAAAAAAAACCAAACCAAGTCCAATTCTGCTTATTATAAGCCAATTTGACAACACTGACTCCAAGCAGTGCAGTAGGAGCTCAGGAACAGGAGAAGGGGCAGCATAAACGGATAGCACATGTTTTTCTTTCAGGACAATTGTCTACCTCGAGTGGGGAGGTTTTGGTTACATAGATAGCCTGTCTTTTTGTTTAAGCTAACTAGCAAACTGGGAGTGAATATCAGGGGAAGAAGGAGTTCACAGGGTGTCAGAAAGGCATGTCAGGAGGCCCTGCCAGGAGCAGGCTGTGGAGAGATACAGTGATACAGTGTGGCTAGTTCACATGAGCCTGAGAGAAGAGGCAGTGAGGAAGGACTGAGGCCAGGGAAGGCAAGAGCCCATTGCCCAGAGAGGGCAGACTTTAGTAGGTTACAAGCCATGAGGGCTGACCCTTTATTAGAGAAGAAAATGAAGTAGTCAGACGTGGAGAAGGCAAATGGGCTGGGCTCAAAACCTAAGGTCACCTGATGGTGGGACTAAAGCATGAGAACCCAGATAGATAAGAGGAGGCAAAGCTGGGAATGCTGAGCCTCCTACAAGGACTCAGCAGCCTGGAAGGACAAATAGCAAGTTGGGCAAGAGCACCATTGTGGTAATAACTGATAATACCTGCAAAGCATGAACTATAGGGCATGTCAGAGGCCACAGATACAGCCCTAAAGGCATATCCAATGCCTGGAGGCACCATTAGAAAACAACCTGACAACAGATGGAACAGTAGCTGGCCCTGGGAAGCCTCCCAACTCTTTTCCTGAGTAACATTAAGACGTGGTAGGTGAGCAAAAGAGGGGAGCCTATGTGTCAAGAAGAGGCAGGGATTGTGGGGTCAAAGGAAGGTGCTACTATGCCACTTAACCCCAGTCCTGTCACTGGGAGCCAGAGAGAATGTGCTGGAAAGAGGAACCTGCATGCCAAGACTGCTGTCCCTGGCCAAACCCAGCACCCCATGTTGCCACCCCCCACAAACCCTGGCTAGAGTGGCTCTGGGCCCCCCAACCCATCCCTAGATCAGCCAGACAGCAGTAACAGTGTTGGTGAGGTGTGGGTCCCCATTCTTTTTGAGCTCAAAGTGCTGCACATGACAATAAAAAAGTATGTTTCTATTTATATTTTCACATGGAAAAGGAATCAGCAAAACATTAAGATAATTCACTAAACTGTATATTTTTTCAGAAGAGGTTAACATAAGGTCCACTTTGAAAAATGTAATAAGGGTGACTAAATATAAAATACTCTTGCACTGGCTGTGCACATGTGCAGACACACATCTGCTGTGTTCTGTCAAGTGAAATAATTACAAGACTTGGCTTGTGCCTTCAGACTTTGCTTCTATCAATTATTATGCTCACTAGAGTGTTGAGAAGCTTTCAAAATTGAACATTAGTAGGGAGTGAATCTTAAAAGTTAGGTGGTCCAATTCAGTTAAGCTTCCAAAGTTTTGCCCTTATTATATGAGTCCTTAAGGGTGGTGAGAAAAAGGGGATGCTCCCTTTCCTCATGCCCATGCCATAATACTTTTGTAACAGGTATAAATATCTGCCTTCTTTCCTTCTAGTGGCAACAACAGTATTCAAAGGCTGAATGAAAGGAATTTTTTCTCTATTTAGTAGGGCTGTATGAAATGCCTGTGTTTCATTTTGGTTTTGGATTTGGCATTTCAATGGGACACCAATTCATTTTGGTGTTTCAAATCACTGTTTTGTTTCATTTCGGCCAAAGCTGTTTTGGGTTTTGATGCTGTTTCAGTGGTTTGACCATAGGCTATAATGGGGAATGACAAAAATGCCTATAACATTGTCATTTCTTGCTCAATTCTGATGAAAATTGCAGAAATGGTAGCCCCTTCAGACAGCATGATATCAACTGAGTATCAAGGAGATAGGTGTAGGGGTTTCTGGAAAACTGCACCTCAAGGTGCTGAGATAAAAACTTACATCGTGTGTGTGTGTGTGTGTGTGTGAAGGCCCCGGGGGGGGGTGGCGGAGGGGGGTGTGTGAAAACACCAGAAGTGGTAGCCCCTTCTGAGGCCAAGAAACCTGCCAAGTTTCAAGGAGACAGGTATGGGGTTTTCTGGGAAACTGCACTTTGTCACCGAGTAGGGTCCCTAGAGATGGCCATGATACCCCTAGGGCCTTGTGACCATACCAGCTCTGCCCTGCAGGCATCTTCTCTTCTTTCCTGCTGCCACATCTTGTTGGAAAAGATAATAGATAGGGAGGCTGCCCCTGAGCTTCAGCTCAGTCACAGTCCTAATGAACTCCACTAAACCCTATAGGTTCTTGGACACCTTGCTGGGACCCGCTCTAAGTAGGTGCCTCAAGGGGACGCCCTAAGCCTTATGGGATAGATGTGTGGCTCCATGCCATACAGGTAGTATATCAATATCATCCCTGTAAAGAGGTCTTGGTCTCACTCTACCTTCTATTGTCACTGGGCTCTCCATGGCCCTGTCACTACACCCTCACTGGCACTGGGGTCTCTACATGACACAGTAGTGTGACCCAGTGAGGCCTCCTTGTTCCCTACAGCCTCAGGCCAGTCCACCACTTTAAATAACAACAGGTACATAGCACACTAGCACTACCATCACAGGCAGTCAAATTGTCACAGAGCCTTTCTTTCCTTTAGTGCAGAAGCTTCTTCTCCAGCAGCTGCCAGAGAACTCTCCCTGCCAGCCCCGGCCCTGGGGCTTAGATGTGCCCAGGGCCCTGCCTCCTTCCAGTCAGCTGACCAGAGACAGGTGCTGGGGGTGCAGGTTGTAGCTATGTTGGTCTAAAGACATGGCAGACAAGGTTCTTTGGGTCGATCTGATATCCTTTAGTAGACCAACTGAATAGTTGAAGAAATATATCTTAGCAAGCTTTTGGGTTGAAAACCCTTCGTCAGGCTGAGGAAGCACCTGCAGTTGGTGTGTGTGCTGTTCCTGGATGGAGGGAATAGTAAGAAGCCAGTGGCTAGCATGCAATGCAGGCAAGAAAGCCAGTCAGTGAAATTGGAAATGGAGGCGTCACAGGGTGAAAGACAAGCTGGGGTAAGGGGGATGTAGCATAAAAATGTGGAGAGGTACCTGGAGAGTCAGATGTTCGGCAGGTTGTAGTGTGTCATAATTCCACTCAGCTCTGTTCAGGGGGCCGTTGATCCCAATCTACCTGACCAAGGTCATGGATGGACTTCTGTTGCTCCACCAGCCTCTTGAGCATCAGGTATGTGGAGTTCCACTGAGTTTCCACATCCTGTGTGATTTTGTGCTGCGGGATGTTCAGCTCTGCCTGTTTCTCCTGCAGCATCTTGTCCCACTAGACAGCAGTAGCTAGGAAGCAGTCAGTCAGTGCCTTTCAGATGCTGTTCTCTCGCGATAGACAGGCTGACAAAGGCTGACAGCTTAGGCACTCACAGGCCACAGGCTTATATGATGTTCTTAAACTTTTTAGGTCCCTCCCCCAGAGCACTGGGATTGGAAGGGACCTCAGGGACAGTTGTCAGACACTGGCCAGCTACAAATGTAAGTCTGTTTCCCCCTCTTCCCCCTCCCTCTCCTTACTTTCTCTTTTCCTGCAGGTCCAGCTTTGAAGCACCTTTGAAACACTGAAACATCTTTGAAATGTTTGACTTCATTCATTTCATTGCAAACAGTTTGACAGATCTCCTGTTTCATTTTGGATTCAGAGTTTTGAGCACTGAAATGCTCGAAACACCGCCAAATGAAACTGCAGTTGAAATTTTGCACAGCTCTAGTATTTAGCACTTCTGTTTCAGAGTGTTCTTTTACTATGGGCCCCAGACCCAGGGAAAAAAGTCCTTAGTATAAGAGAGATTCTGTCCTGCAGCTCCCTTCCAAAGGTACCATTTTTCAGGGGCTCTTCAGAGAAAGTAGCCTGTGAATGGTTAACAAGTCCTTGCCTATCACATAGTTGGAGATGCAGCTAGCAAGGGATGTAAAAGGCAACAAGAAGTG